GACGGAAGATATCCGGCTGCCAGAATTTATCAGTAGGTTTTCCTAGACTAGCTCAGGCTTAGCTCAAGGCCAGAAGGGCTACCTGCCACAAAGACCTTTGAGTTCGACTACGCTCAGCTCCAAGGCACATCATTTGCAGCATAGCTTAAGTCGAGAAGGGCTATCTGCCAAAGACCCCCGAGTTCGATTACACTCAGCTTCGAGGGCACATCATTTGCAGTATAACTTAAGTCGAGAAGGGTTATCTGTCAACCAAAGACCTTTGAGTTCGACTACGCTCAGCTCCAAGGCACATCATTTGCAGCATAGCTTAGGTCGAGAAGGGTTATCTGCCAACCAAAGACCTTTGAGTTCGACTACGCTCAACTCCAAGGCACATCATTTGCAGCATAGCTTAAGTCGAGAAGGGCTATCTGCCAAAGACCCCCGAGTTCGATTACACTCAGCTTCGAGGGCACATCATTTGCAATATAAATTAAGTCGAGAAGGGTTATCTGCCAACCAAAGAACTTTGAGTTCGACTACGCTCAGCTCCAAGGCACATCATTTGCAGCATAGCTTAAGTCGAGAAGGGCTATCTGCCAAAGACCCCCGAGTTCGATTACACTCAGCTTCGAGGGCACATCATTTGCAGTATAACTTAAGTCGAGAAGGGTTATCTGCCAACCAAAGACCTTTGAGTTCGACTACACTCAGCTCAACAGCACATCATTTGTAGTATAGCTTAAGTCGAGAAGGGCTATCTGCCAAAGATCCCCGAGTTCGATTACACTCAGCTTCGAGGGCACATCATTTGCAGCATAACTTAAGTCGAGAAGGGTTATATGTCAACCAAAGACCTTCGAGTTCGACTACGCTCAGCTCCAAGGCATATCATTTGCAGCACAACTTAAGTCTACAAGGGTTGTCTGCCAACAAAAGACCTTCGAGTTCGACTACGCTCAGCTCCAAGGCATATCATTTGCAGCACAACTTAAGTCTACAAGGGTTGTCTGCCAACAAAAGACCTTTGAGTTCGACTACGCTCAGCTCAACGGCACATCATTTGTAGCATAGCTTAGGTCGAGAAGGGCTATCTGCCAAAGACCCCCGAGTTCGATTACACTCAGCTTCGAGGGCATATCATTTGCAGCACAACTTAAGTCTAGAAGGGTTGTCTGCCAACAAAAGACCTTTGAGTTCAATTTCACTTAGCTCCAAGGCCCATCATTTGCAGCATAGCTTAAGGCAAGAAGGGCTATCTGTCAATAAAATTGTCGAGTTCGATTCTATTCAGCTTGATAACACCTCAATCACACTACTGTTCGGCTGCAATCTAGGTTTTCAAGTTAAGGAGAAGACCTGGGTTAATTGCGCCTTGGTGACAAAAAAACTGTTTTCCGGCAGCTTAGCTTAAGTCAAGAGAAGCTATCTGTCAACGAAGACCTTGTGAGTTAGGTTTCATTCAGCTCGAGGGCCTATCAACCACATGGTGGAGTCAAAGAATTATTTTTTTCTGTCGAATTTTTGAACCAAGATCTTTAAATCGAGAAGAAGACCGAAGTTGACTACAATTGGGCAACAAGAAGCCGCATCCGGATTCAAATTTTAAACTACGTTTCAATTCCATATCATTTCGAGATGGACTCGACTTCGCTACGAATGAGCCATTCATAACCCCATTCGACAGGGAGTTATTCTATTCAATCTTCAACTCCACCGGACAAAAATTTGTGTTTTTTTTCTTCTTTGTCCTATTTTTCGTTCCACGAATTCGTTCCACGAAAAAGGACAAAGAGGGGCAGCTGTAGACACCCATTTCGTCTCATTTTTTTATTTATTTTTTATATATATACATATATATAATATATATAGTTTTGAAGACATATTTGAAACATTTATATATTATATAGTTTTTAAAACACTTTGAAAATAAATATAATATATAGTTTTTAAAACGTTTTTGAAAATATATATTATATGGTTTTCAAAACATTTTGAAAATAAATATAATTTTTAAAAAGAAACATTTTGAAAACATATATATATTATATAGTTTTGAAATCATTTTGAAAACTTATAATATATAATTTTAAAAAAACATTTTTGAAAACTATATAATTTTGAAAACGATTTTAAAAAAATATATAAAATATATACTTTTAAAATACTTTTGAAAATATATATTATATAGTTTTTAGAAAATATTTTATATTATTATTATTATCATTTTTATTTATTTATTTTTATTAATTTTATTTTCATTTTAATTGTCTAGGTCCATTTTGGGGTCCAAGTGAGCCAAGTTGGGCCTGACCCAACCCAGAGCTCAGATTAGGGTTCCAACGTATGTTCAACAGGCGCCGCGTAAGCCAAGGAGGTCAAGGGTCAGTCACACCGGCCACCGAGATTTCCGGCCGAGAAGATCGGGACTGACCCATCCATAAATCCCCGGCCAACTAACCACGAGCACGTTACTGTTATCATCGGAGCAGACCCCCGGTGGGGTGGGTATAAATATCCCACCACGGTGAAACAGGGGGAGGGATCACAGTAAGTCGAGGGCTCAAAGCCACCGTACCATCAACCACAGAACAGAGATAACCCATCGAGAACACCACACACAGAGCCATCACAAACCAACCATCAAGAATCACAGAACCGAGAGAACATCGGCCACGGGAAACCAAGAACCCATAACATCACAAAGACCATCAACACAAAAACCACCAAAATACCAACAATCGAGAACCCACAAAAACAGTAAACAAATCGACCAACAACAAAGGTCGAACAAAACCAAATACACAAAACCGAAGTACCAACCAAAGGCCTCGGAGAAGCTATTGGAAAACCAAAGGGCATCGGTTTTAAGGTAAAAGACCCGAACTTTAGGCGTAGATCTATGCCGTTTGGGGTCCCTTTAGGGGAAACGGGCTTCGGATCGGGGTTTAGAGTGACAAGGCGAGTGTTTCGGGCTAAGTGGTTTTTCCAGCCACCGCCAGCGGTAGCCGGTATGGTGGCCGGCGCGGCGGTTTACCATCGGTGGTGGCGGCCGAATCTTGGCCGGGTTAGAGAGAGGCGAGAGAACATATGGTTCTGTCGTTGAGGAGAGAAAGAGCAAAGTGAGAAATGGCCAAGGGTCATTTTGGCCTTGGAAACGGGCATATATAACGATAGCAAAACTACGTCGTTTTGCAAGGAGGGACTCCGGTGTAATTTCGTGAGGGGTAAACTCTGTCCTCGGCCATCATATTTTATCATATTTGTACTTTGGTCACTGAATTTCATTTTTTAGTATTTTAATTTGGAATTCTAATTTATTATGCTTATATTTTAGTCCCCAAGTTATATATTTTTGAATTTGGCCCAAGATTTTATACAGGTTTTATTTTGGTCACTAATTAACATCCATTTTTTATTATTATTTCTTAAAACCTTTTTATATTCAATTTCGTTTTTTTTTATTTCTTATTCTTCTATTGTTTTGTTTTTTTATTCATTTATCTATTTGATATTTAATTATTATTTTACCCCCTAACATTTTTTTGACATTTTCAGTGGTAATTTTAATCGATCAAAGGTAAGCAATTTGAATCTGGTAGTTTAAATTTTAATTTAAATTTTAAATTTTCGCAACTAAAGACAACCGCTAAATTAATTGGTACCGAAAGGGCGGTTCAAGGGTGCTAATCCTTCCTTGACCGTAACCGACTCCCGAACCCGACACATTTTTAGTACAACGCAGATCCGGTAAGATGGTGTCCGACCCACCTAAATTCGTTTTAAACTGGTCGGTGGCGACTCTAACCCAATTATTCAAGTCGAAGCCCAATTCCGGGGCCCAAACCAAAAGACGGCTACGACAGCCACCTTAAATTAAGTGTAAAATGATTTTTTCTCATAAAATAAATTTAATTACAATTTATTAATACATATAAATCAATATAATTAAATATTATTATTTCCTACATTGACGGTGACAAAATATTTTTTAATTGAGTTTCAATCACGTCATGTGACCTATTAATATCTAGCGTTATATATTTTAATTTTTTTTATAAAAAAATTAATGTTTAAGTCTTATATCTTCTTTTACACTGTCAACATAAAATAATTATCTTTTTGTTAAAATATTATTATATTGTTTATAATTTATATTGATACTGAATTTATATATATATATATATATATATATATATATATATATTGTCTAACATGTAAGTTGCGTAAATTTTAGTCTACATAAGTCTATTTATTTTAGAGTATAAGAGTCTAATTAAGGTTTATAATTTAGATTAAAGTTGTTATTTAGAATTTAAGGTTTAAAGTTTAAAATATTAAGTAAAGAATATTATATTTTAAGTTTTGGAGTAAAATATAACTGTGTGTAAAAAAAGTACATAGTCTGCATATGAAATAATAACTTATATATAAAAAAAATTATTTAATACATAAATTTTATGCAAGTCTATATATTTTAATGACACATATATGATTTAAGATTTAGTATCATATGACATAAATTTATTATTTAAATTTAAATTTAAAAAAATTTAAAACTAATATTCTAAATTTTAGTATTTAAAATTAAAATAAACATAAAATAACTTAATTTACATAACTTACATATAAAGTAATAACACATTTATACACTCACAAAGTACCTAATTTAATTGGAAACCAAATATTTATTATACAAGAAATTTGCTTTAACGTCTGCTTAATTTTGCGGCTTGCTCCTAAACGACATCATATTATTTCACAAAACGGCAAGTTGACATTCCTCTATCTTCCGAACAGTTTGGAGCGGTAAGAATTCGTACAGACATATATACCAAATCCCGAAACTGTCCCTTCCCCTTTGATCCTCAATTTCACCTACAATCAAGGTTACATTCGGCACTTTAGTAATTCGCAGCTAGAGCACAGACATAGCAAACGTTTCGAATATTTGCGGAAGTGAAGGTGATCTTTAATCTTCATTTTCTTATTCCAATTCTCTATCGGTGCGCCGCCGTCGACACCTTCTCGACCACTATCACCGCCGCTCACGCTAGGCGTTACTTGTAGAAGGATTTTCTCTTTATTAGTATTTAAGGTAATGAATTTCCTTTCTTTTTTTTTCCCTTTTTTGGTATCTATGGAAGCCATTCTTATTGATGTTTAGGTTTTTCGTAATTTTGAAATGTTTTCTCAAGTTTTTGAATTAGCTGATCTTAATAGCTCTGTATTGTTATCGATGCGTTGTTTTTATCATCTTCTAAACGAAGCTTTGAAAAGAAATATGTAGTTCCGAATTGTTCAAGGCTTTTATTTATTGCAAAAATTCGTTGTTAAGTAAGATAGGAAATTAAATAATTTTTTCCTTCTTTAGTATCGGCTTGGTGCCCGTGTTATTTCTCAGTTTGTAATTTTTTAAAAAGTTTTTCATTTAATTATGAACTAGTTAACATAGAAAGTAGATTGCATGTTAAAGAAAAACAACCCCTCCCCCCTTCTCCCTTCAATTTTCGTTCTGTTTGAATTAGTTAACACATAATCATACTGCATTTTCAGAAATTCTTGAGTTTCGGTTCTGTACATCTGATATTAAAATCAAGATGAATTCTCGTGAGTTCAGTTTAGCTCTATATAACATCATTATTTTTGGGTTCACTTTTTCAGTGTCTATTTGTACATAGGATTTATTTAGCTATATAATTTCTGATTCAAAATGAGCAAAACTGTTTCCCAGTACTGATGCTTGAATTTTAGATTATCCTTTATTTTCCTTATTATCATACAAAAGTTGTGGCTTAGTTGTTACAACTAAAAGTTTGTTACTTTAAGCTTAATTGATTGAATTTTATCAAGTTCATTAAAGTAAAACATTCCCAGTGTAGCAATGATGAGATTTTGTTTTCTGTTTGAAATTTAGATTTTCCATTATTTTCCTTGTTATCTTACAAATTTTGTGCCTTGTGGCTTATTTGTTACAGCTAAAAGTTAACAACTTTATGCTTAATTGATTGAATTTTCTCAGGTTCATCAAAGTAAATTGTTTTCAGATGTCACAACAATGAGAGTTGCTTCGTTGCCTTTGCAAGTATTTACAAGCATTAATGTGCAGATAATATTCTTTGTTATTGTAGAAAAGTGTGGTTAATTAGTTGTTACAACTAAAAGTTGACAACTTTAAGCATAATTGGTTGAATGTCTCAAATCAATGAAAAGTATAATGTTTTCAAATGTAGCAACACTTGGATTCTCTTTGTTGCCTTTCCTTGAGGTTCTTCTCCTAAGAAAATGATGTGTAGTTTAGTGACTTCAGCTTTGTTGTTTGATCATGCAGCGCCATGGCAACATTTACTGCTATAGCTTTGGGTAGGTTGTTAGAACCTGGAGCCTCCAGGTTTGTTGAGGACTCGGGTCCTAATTTAAAACCACCAATCCCCAAGCCCAAGCCTATTACTAACTCAAAGATGGATAGGAGCAGCAATACATCGGCAACAAGGAAGTTTATTCTCCCCCAAATATCACCTTCCCTCTATGCTACTCCTGAGGCAACCCCACTACCCGATTCACCAACTTCTTTTTCTCCTCCTTACATCATCAATCACAAGTGTCGTGCGCCTCACCTTTCGAAGAGCTTTTCCGAGGACAATGTGTCACCTCGGGAAAAAACCCTTGAAGACGATGAGATTAATGGAGAAGGAAAATTGGCAGAGAGCAAATCTGTTGATCGACTGAAGGATGGTTTTGTTTTCTTTAGCATTCCTAAACCTAATGAAGAGGAACATGAGAATGGTGCCGCCCATAGTTGTCCTATCATCATAGAGCTATCATAGAGCTTGAAAACACTTTCCATGGTGGTTCCATTCAGGAGCACATGAATGATTTCCATGATGGTGAATTTGGGAGCTATAATTGTGAAGTTGAAAGCAGCCAAATAAATAATGGTTTACCTATGGATGCTTCTGTGCTGAAGATTGGACCATTGAACTTGGATAGATGTGACAGTGAAGATTTCTTTGATCCGGATGAATCAATAAGTCTAGCAAGTAATACCGAGGGAGGAGATGATATTGGGGCTGAAAGTGCTGCAAGGTTTGCTACACCAGGAGTATAGTTTTTTGATGCATGGCATGTTATTTTCACCCGTATGTGACATTCATATGTAGATGCACACGCACATATATTATTGTTTTTAAAACCTGATAGGCTGACAGTGTCACACCCCAATCTTGGGCTAGAATTTGTTTAAGTAATTTAGAGACTTAAATGGTAAAGTTTGGAAATAAAATAAATAAAATATATGAGGTTTAAAAGCTTTGAACCCGTGTACTATTGAAAGTAAAGAGGTGCCATGCCTTAGCCATTTAGGCTAGGGCACTATTCAATATTTTATTTAAAATTTTTAATCTTAAAATATTCCTTAAGACCCCAAAAAAAACCATTCATTTTTCCAGTAGAAATCATCCCCAATGTTTACAAGCTTCACAAATTCGTCCCTCTAAAACCCCCCGTCACTGTCGAAGCTCTAATGAACCACATCCGCCCGACAGTGGAGTGCATCATCATCGTCGTCAGCGTCAACCGCCAATCCAACCCCAACCCACAATTCACCGATTCGCCCACCATTTGCCGCAATTTGGAAGGAAATTGTTTGGTTCTCCTCGCCTCGTGTCATCGCCATCGTTGATCGGTATTCATCATGACCACCCCCATCAGGCACGCCAGGCCACCATGAACCAACCCCTGCCAGCTACTCTCCACCAATCGCCGCCGTTCATCAGGGAGAGACGTTTGAAAGCTTCACCGAAAACTCATTTTTATCCCCTCGATTTCTCGTAGTTTCCGGTCGTTCCAGCCATAGGTTAACCACATAGACACCTCATCTAGACTCCCCATCGCCGTCCTCTCAAAACCCAACCAGTGGGTCTAGTCGTCGCCGCTGGTTTCCTCGTCGTCGGCGTGGGTAAGCTCGGGTTTATATTTCAGTTAATTTTCTCTCGGTTTTGCTTGGTTTTGGTTGATTTTTTGGTTAAATCTTGGTTGATATGGTGTTTGGATGCTCCCGGATTTAAAGGTTAAATGTCGGGAATACTTGGTTAATAAATTACAAAATAGCTCTATGAAGTTAAATTACAAAAATGCCCTTACACTATAAGAAGACCAAGATTTCCCATGAAGGTGAAAAATAAACCAAAAAAGATTTACTTGACCAAATTACTAGAAAAAATAAATATGTTTGGATTGAAAGAAATTACTGAAATGACATCGAGCTGCGAAATAACTAAAATAACCTCTGATATTTAAATTTTTGAAATACCCCTGAACCCTAAAAGGATTAGAATACCTTGAACTCTAAGATGACCAAAGTAACCTCGAGTGTTGAAGTGACCTAAATATCCTAACGACTTAGAATAAGTGAATGTCTTTGGATAAATTCTAGAAACACCAATAGCTTAAATGTTGTATCATTCCTAAAGGTTATGGAGCATAACTCAAGCTGAGTATTCTTGATACTGATACATCACAGAAATATATAATACCATCGAATAGCTGATTGTCTCCTCAAGTTCTGTTCAGTGGTGATTCTGAACGTGACCAGTTCAACCAGTGTAGTCAATATTAAGACGTGATTATTCGTGTATCAGTCCGGATTATTGACAAGTTTTACAGGGTGGAGATCGGTTAGTACGATTTGACTCGAAATCATGATAATTCGATATAAATTCAGAATAATGCAAACTGCCGTTTTAACCTTATTGGATTATGTTACTAAGAATCCACCATAAATTAAAATGTCTGAAATACCTCTATTTGCATGAATAATGGAAACACTCATGTTATATTTTGATCTTCAATAATTCTGATGTAAAAGTTCATGAGTACCTTTTTAATACACTCGAATATTAAATGATTTTTTTAAAACATCAATTTTTGAATGTTGATTAGATCTGTTAATGAACGAACCCTTTTTATAGGGACCTCGATTCTAAATTCCGTCAAATCTATAGAAGTTATACGTTTTTCCTTCTTGATAACAATCAATTGCCTCCGAAAAATAACTGAATCTTCTGGTGTGTTCCCTACATGCTACCTGATCGTTTTATTTGTATTGAAATTATAAATTGATATATGGTTGATTTACGATTATTTTTACTGATTGATATAATGATTTATTGGTTACTTGTTTTACTGGAAAAATGAAATGTACCTAAAGTATGGATCATAGAACTACTGGTTACTACTTGAATTGTTTTATTGTGACACTATCTAGGTAGGCCGGAGTATGGAAGTCCAGCTCTAATCAAGCTGGTAAATCCTTACGAACCTAAGGTGACCTTTGGGTAGGCTCTGAGGTCCCAAGGTATTACTTGGGTAGGCTCTAAGGCCCCAAGGAACTCCCTTAGTATGGGGACTGTATTTTGGTGTACGGGTAGATGGTATTTATGTTATTTAAATAACTACATTGTCATTTTTACAACATTCTACTGGATCATGATTTTGATATTAAAGTTATTGCTCAATCTGAATTCTACTGGATACTATATAGGTAGGAGTCTGGAGTACGGAGGTTCAGCTCTGATCATACTGGTAAATCCTCACGGACCTAAGGAGACCCTTGGGTAGGCCCATAGACTCCAAGGTACTCACTTAGGGTAGCTCCTTTGTTGTGTGCTTAGGGTAAGTCCTTATGGATGTAGTTCTAGAAGACTGCATATGGAGTGTTCGGGTGGAGGGTATTACAATGATTTTAAAAATTTGTTTTACTGAAATAAAATAATGTTGTTTTTAATCTATGATTTCATTTATTATGGTTTTGTGGGAACACACTAGACATTCTATTTTGATCTCCTGAATCTGTTCCTATGAACTGTAAGCTTTATACTAATTACCTAAAGAAATATCAGTGGAACCTCCATTCATTACTAATACCTGTAGATGCTTGAATAACTAAGGAAAATTTATGCTTTACTATTTATATGCTTGTCCATTAGCATCATCTGGTAGTTATGTATTACTGACCTTCCCAAAGCTCACTCCTTACTAACCATTTTAGGTTATAATAATCGATCCACTGCCGCTAACAACTTCAGTATTGGGAGTTCCTTCAGTTTTGCTTGCAAAGTACGGTACAATGTGTAGTTAGGGGGCATGTAGGTCACATTTGATTTTTTTATATAATAAGTCTTGAACTTGTATGATTTGAATTATATTTGTAATATATGAATGGTTTTCTAAATTTGAATTTTATTTATAATTTTTTTATGATTTTACACGTTTTAACAAAAATTTCCTGGATTTTTACTGTGGGTCGCTCCAGTGGCCCTAATGTGACACTTCAGATTGGATCGGATCGGGTCACCCGCATCGGTCTGAGAGTGTTACAGATAGGTATTTACTTGAAGCATGGAACAAATATTTTTTTTGCTACCTCTTTATTTAATTGTTCACTATTAGCAGCCTTTAATTTGGCGCCAAAAAAGTTGTCACAATAAATAATGAGATTTAGATTTATTGTGATAAATTTTGTTTGTGATTATATATTTTAATTATAGTGACAGAATGTATAGTCACAAATGATTATCTCTAATTTGTGGTACAAAAAAAATCATATAGTGTCATGATTTGTAACTATAAGCTATAATTATTGTTACAAAAAAAGTTGTCACAACAAATAATGAGATTCAAGTTTTTAGTAAAAAAACAATGTTTGTCGTTATATATTTTAATTATAGTAACAAAATATTTTGTCACAAAGATTTCCCTCCATATTTTTTTTGCGCCAAAAAAGTCATATAGTGACAAATTTTGTAACTATAAGTGTTAATAATTATTTCAAAAAACATTGTCACAAAAATATTGATATTCACGTTTTTGTGACAAATTATATTTGTAGTTATAAATTTTAACTATAGTGATAGCATATATTGTCATAACTATTTTTCTCCACTTTTTTGTTTCAAAAGTTATATTGTCAATTTTTTTAATTATAATTTATAGTTATTGTTATAGAAAAATTATCACATCAAATAAGAAAAGTTAAGTTTTTTGTAATTAATTATTTTTACTTGTATATTTAATTATTATGAAAAATTATACTATCAGAACAATTTCTCCATATTTTTTAGTGTAAAAAATGTTATATAGTAACAAAATATATTATCATTAAGATTTTCCTCCATATTTTTTATGCCAAAAAAATCATATAGTAATATAGTAACAATTTTTGTAACTATAAGTGTTTATAATTATTGCAAAAAATATTTTCACAAAAAATAATGGTATTCATATTTTTGTGACAATTTGTACTTGTAGTTATAAATTTTAATTACAATGATAACATATATTGTGATAAATATTTTGCTCCACTTTTTTGTTTCAAAAAGTTATATTGATAGTGGAACTAAATGTTAATTTCATAATTTACTACATTTTGTTTTTATCTATTTTATGATAATTTTGATATAATTATTAATATTTAATTTTTTAATTTAAATCAAATATTACATAATTAATTATCTTCATTTATCTTAATTTGATGGACTTGAGTTCTTGCAATCGAGAAACCTAAACCTAACCCAAAAAGAAAGCCCACTTAGCATTAAAAAAATCCTAGTCACGAATCAATATTTTGTTGAGTAACGTAGTAAGGTTAGAGGCAGAACTAGAAGAGTTGACCCTATTTTTTTCTTTTTTCTCAATTCGATTGCAGGTAGAGTCCCCCTAACTTGAATCGTGGAAGGTTCATAAGCAGTTAATTAGCTGTATATCCAGTGGAAAATTTATAGGAATTTATTTCGTCTTGGAGGCTGAGATTTAGGGTATTTATCAGGGATTGTAATGTGCGTAAGAGCTGGGATTTAAGCAGGTTCTTGTGGAAGTTGACAGTAAGGAAGTAATCAATGAAGTTACAGGATCAAAGGTGTAATATCTTGAAATCAGGGTTAGTGACAAAAATAGGAATTTTTAAAATTTGGGGATCAATTTAGGAAAAATTGAAAGTTCAAGAATTTTAATAGGAATATTTCATTATTGGATGAAAGGGTAAATATGAAAGGATTATAAAGGCATTATGGTAATGTTAGCTTAAAAGATATTTTCTCCCTTTTATAAGAATGAAACACGTGGG